CGTACATTTACTTTCCCTCAACAATAACATCTTGTATAAAACCAGAAAACTGACGTTGGTACCATCCACAGTGATTTTGGCTTATGGATATCAAATTACTCCAGGAGTATTTGTTGAAAAAAATTATTCATTGAATGTTCAAAAATCAGTTGGTTGTATGCTTGCAGGTCTATTTCTACATTCTTTTTTTCTGTCCTGTGGATCTATTTGGCTATCCCTCTCCTGATAAAATGTCTTGATTAATGTGTCTCTACAGGGAAGTCTTACAGTCAGGAAGAGTGGTTCTTCTCATTTTATTCTTTTTAAAAATTGCCTTAGCTACTCTGGTTTCTTGACTTTTTCATGTAGAATTTAAAGTAAGCATATCAGTATGTCAGGAAAAAAAGCTTTGCTGGACTTTAATGGGAATTGCATTAAACTCAGAGATCAATTTGGGAGGAAGTGACAATTCACTATGCTGAGTCTTCCAATCCAAGAATACAACAGTTTTCTCTATTTATGTAGGCCTTTGCCTTGTTTCATCAATGTTTAGTAGTTTTCAACATACAAGTCTTATGTCTTGTTGAATTTATACATTTCATTTTTCTCTCAAGTGATTATAAATAATATTATCAGGTTTTTATTCTTGAGTTCCACGTGTTTACTGCTAGTATATTGAAAGACAATTTTTGTTTACTTATCTCATAGCCTGACAAACCTGACAAACTCATTTAGTTCTAGGTATTTGTAGATTCTTTGGGATTTTCTACATAGATCTTCATCATATCATCTACAAATAGTGTTAGTTTTATTTCTTCCATTTCTGCATTCCTGATTTCATTTCCTTTTTCTTGCCTTGTTGTGCTGGCTCAGACTTCCAGTATGATGTTGAATAGAAGTGATGAAAGCAGATATCCTTGCCTGTCCTGATCTCAGGATTGGTAAGCAAGTAGTCTTTCACATCATAAACAGTGATGTTAGCTATAGGTTTTGTATAGATGACCTTGTCAAGTTTTATTATTTAGAATGAATGTTGAATTTTGTCCAAAAAAATTTTTTTTTGCATCAATTGTTATTATCTGTGGTTTTTTCCTACAGGCTTTTGAAATACTGAAAAGAGGTTAGAGACTTCCCCATCTGACAATTTGCTCAGACTGGGAACTCAGCTTCTACCACCAGTCTAGTTCTCCATGCCCCAGTGTGCTCAAGAATGCAACCTGGACCTGCATGTGGCTAAAGAAGGCCAACATAGGAAATGCTGCCCAGAGTGTGTCCACTGCTATAGATTTACAACGGCATAGCCAAGGTGCAGAGAAGCCCTGTGATATAAGCTGATTCTCAACATGGAATTTCCCAAACTTATCACACGGCAATTTTTTGCACAAACCCTATTATGTTTCATAGGACTTTCTCTGAAACACTTAGGGAACCACTCAACTGAGTCTGTCCCCTAATTTGCAAACTATTCAAAGGCTGAAAGACAAGTGCCCTGACCAAGGTCACAGATGGTGACGTCACAGACGCAGCAGGTCTCCTGTCCCCAGCTGGCTGCTCCTGCTCCCAACCATGCTGCTCTGACATACTAACAAGTCAGTAGGCAGCCCTGCAACACCACACACCGTCATGGAGAGGAGGAACGTTCCACCTCACCAGTCTGGTCCCTTTGGTGGCTCTCAGGCCCTTCATCCCCAATAAGCTTGAGGATGAGCAGCTTAATTTTTGTAGGTTCGGTGGGACCCATGGGTGGGGATATATGTAATGCAGCTGGGCCAGTCATGCTGTTCTAGCTCCTTAACGGGAGCACAGGGTCCAGGAGTGCATGTACAACCTGCTGCTCTAACATGACTCCAGACCAGGAATTATTAGAATTACTAATAATTCTAATTAGAGAGAGTAAAAAAAAAAAGTTTTTGCATGGAGATGATGCTAAATTAGGAGGCACTGAGCTAGAGCAAACTCTTCAGAGTCTGGAGAAAACTTTTGAGTCCCTTGGACTGCAAGATCAAACCAGCCAATCCTAAAGGAAATCAGTCCTCAATATTCATTGCAAGGACTGATGCTGAAGCTGAAACTCCAATACTTTGGCCACCTGATGGGAAGAACTCACACATCTGAAAAGACCCTGATGCTGAGAAAGGTTGAAGGCAGGAGGAGAAGGGGACGAGAGCATGAGATGGTTAGATAGCATCACTGACTTGATGGACATGAGTCTGAGTAAGCTCCGGGAGTTGGTGATGGACAGGGAAGTCTGGCGTGCTGCGGTCCATGGGGTCGCAAAGAGTCGGATGCAACTGAACTAAACTAAGCTAGAGCTACCAGGAAGCACCATGCAGAACAAAGTTGTAACATGAAGTGAGACCTTGGTTCCTTACGACGAGACTGAGCCAGATCTAGTCAGGCTGAAGCAAAACCTACCTCCAGAATGTAAATGACAAGACTAGTAAGTGCCCTCTTCCTCAGACTGGGGAGATGGAGTCTTGTCAGTTGCCAACAGAATCCTACCTAGTTTGCCTGTGAAGCAGATTGGCTCAGAGTAAGTTATCACTCAACTGGATCTGCAGACCCCTCTCCATCAAGAGGTCATTTCCCCTAAGGTTCCAAAGCAAAGAACAACCTTTTCTGCCCCTCTCATCCTGGGCCCCTACCCACTCTCAGACTGATGCCCCCCTGCCCTACTTCACATTAAAACAGTAAGAACACAGGGAGCCAAGAGCAGCTTGGGCAATACTTGATATACATCATACATTTATTAGTGAATATCCCTCTGAAATCAGCAACAATATTAAAAAAAATAATGATTGCACTACTTGGTCAAGCAGAACTAGCAACTTTCATTTTAAAAAAAGTACAAATCTGTTAAAAATTTCAATCGGTATACACATATATAATACAACATACTAGTTATGTTAAATGCTACAAACCAATGTGAATCCAATGGAATGGAAAAAACCACACATTTAAGCTTTAAGAACCATTTTTTTTCTCTATATATTAGCATTTTCTCAAATACATACATGGGAAAAATGAGGTAACTGTAAAATGTGCAAGGAACAGGGCCCCCCCAAATTACATGTTTATATATATATATGTAATTATATATATATATATAAAAGACCTTTCTAACACAGAACACAGGTGCTGGGCCCAGCCAGGGCTGGGGGATGGAGCCCACTGTCATGCCTAGGCCAGAAGTTGGTAAATAAAACAGTAAACAATGACAAGCCCCCACCACAGGAAATCATTGGTAACATGGCATCTATAGCAAGGTCGGCAAATCACAAACATCCTAAATAATTGTCTTATAAATCTTTTTTTTTAAGTGATTTTTTTTTTTTAATGTTGTTTCCCCCCCAATAGCTGCTCGCTGGAATCACTGCTGCAGCCGACACACAATCCGTGAGCCTGTTTCCGCCTGCCCCAGGAACTGGAAAGGGTTTTGAAAACCTTTTTTGGGGGTGGGGAAGGGAGGGGGGTTGGAGAGGGTGGTTCTCTGTGTAAAACGTGGGGTTTTCAACACTGCTATAAATATAGAAATGTCACCTGGAGTTATATACAGTAAGACTTTGGGTTCTCCACGGGGTGGGGCCAGGCTGATGGGGCCCCATGGCAGGCTGGGGGGTGGCGGGAAGCCAGGGCCGCTGCTGGAGAACGAGGGTGGTTGGAGCATCCCTGAGGCAGCAGGCGCCAGGGGCTGCCTGCTAGGATGTGCCGGCCCCACACGCGGTTCGTTCAGGGCAGCAACCCCAGCTGGGGGTGAGGAAGAGAAGGAATGGGACCACGAGGGCAAGGATGGGGAACTCAGCCAGACCCTATGGGGGCTCCTCCAGACCTTGGAGGGCAGGGCTCAAGCTGGGAGGCGGCCCCTGGAGGTGGGTCCACACCCTCCCTGGACCCAGGTCCTCCCAGACTTCCTTGGAGGAGACACGCCCAGGCAGATGGGAGACAGGTCCTGGCTAGAAAGGGAGAAATGCCCTGAAAAGCGTACGGTCCCGGTAGGCTCTGGGGACGTGTGCAGTACAGTGCATGGCAGTTATCAGCTGAGCACAGACCCCCCAACCCCACCCACGACCGCCAGCCACCCGGCCCAGCCCCAGCCGCGCACATGCATGTAGACCAGGCGGTACAGCGTGGACCATTCCCTGCCCCCTGGGCACTTGGTCCTGGTTGGTCCCTATACCCCCCATTAAACCAAAAGAAAAGAGATTGTTTAAAAATCCACACCCTCAGATCCTACACGCGATTTGGGGCCAAATGATCAACAAAAACTGCTGTTCCTCACGTTCATGCAAAACGACAGAAAGGGGAGATCGGGCACGGGTCTGGGCACCGTCACTGCCAGGGAGGGCAGCCACCCGCAACACAGGCGGTCGCTCTCCCTGGCCTGGCCCAGGCCCTCTCAGAGGGCCCATCTGCCGCAGCCCAGAGCCTGCCTCCCGCCTGCTTGGGAGGCTGGCTCTGATGCTCCCCAGCCTGGGCTTGTGGCCGGAATGTCGTGCCTGGGCTGAGGGCCCTCTAGGGAGCCAGCCCCACCCTCACAGCAGCCTGGCTGCCTGAGTCAGCCTGGGGTCAAGGTGGAAGGACCCACTTGGGCTTCCTGCCACCATCTGTCCATGCCTGTCTGTGCCACCTGCACAGAGAGCATGCCACTTCAGGGCAAGAGACCAGGCGACCCGGACAGCTCCCCCTTTGCCCATCCTGGGGCCAACGACCCCCACCGGCCACACTAGGGGAATGGACCCTGGCTCCCAGTGCTGGCAGGAAAAGGAGACAGACCCGAAGGCAAACAGGAGAGAGGCTGAGTTACGGACGCTCAGGCTGCTCCCTGGTGGGCAGATGGGGAAGGAGTCTTTGGAGCGTGGCAAATGCAGGGGCTTATTGCAGGGGCTTCTCTCGGGCTGACCCTGACACCAGCTCTGGAGAGACAGGCAGGAACGGCAGGGCAGGCCGGGACCACGCCCTCCCTGGGCACCCCCCGAGTTTCCAGAGCTTTGGGCAGGGTTCTCCGGGGCGGCTGTGGGGCCTCACTCAGCCTCCCTGGGCACCTCGGAAGCGTCGGCCCGGCAAATGGGACACGTCCGGTTGGCCTGGGGGGAAGCAGCCGCGTGTCAAGACTCCACACCTGCCCAACCCCCATCCCATCTGAGGCTCTTCTGCTGCCTGGTGGGAACCTGGCTCCCTGCGTGGAACCAAAAACTTCTGGATGCCAAACAGGACGCAGAGGGAAGCCCTCCAGTCCCCCTCCTCCCTCCCCACACCTGGGAGCCAGCATGGGAACCTTACCTTCAACCACTTGTCGACACACTTGGTGTGGAACTCATGGTTGCAGGGGAGGACCCGGAGCAGCTGCCGCGCCTCAAAATCACTGAAGCAGACAACACACCTGGGAGGAGGAGTTACAGAGCATCACCCCCACCCTGACGGCAAGGGCAGACTCAGGGCAGGGCACAAAGCCCCTCCCCCGGAAATCAGAACCCTGTCTGTGCTCTCAGAGAAGCTGGGGGTGGCGGGGCATGTAAGAGGCGGCCAGGGCACTCACAGCGTCTGCTCCGACTGGTGACTGTCCGGGTGAAAGCGGTATGATGGAAGCTGCTCGATGTCCGCTTTGGTGAGGCCACGGGGTTTGGCATCTCCCAGCCGCTCGGCCAGATTCAGGAGAGCCTGGACGCGGGCAGGAGGGGAGAGTCAGCGGCGGCCAGGGCTGGAGGTCCCCCAGGCCCCCATTTCCCAGGACTGGGCTCCACGGGACCTCATAGTTCTCCATTTCGACGTCATCCACATCAAGATCCAGGCTGATGGTGGGCCCCATTGCTGTTGGTGACATCGGCAGCATCGAGCTAGTGAGAGACAAGCACGTGGGCCCAGGGTCAAGGGCAGTAGGCATAGAGAGCATTGAGGGGGGGATCCCCTGATTCCCGCCATGAAACCAAGCCCAGAACTCTGCACTGTTCACATCAGGGATCCCATTGGGGAGCGTGAGTGTGCAGGTCTGGTCTAGTGGGGATGCTGGGGCTCAAGCAGCCCTGGGACCTCTGTGGGACCCTGTTTGGGTCTAACCACTAAAGGCCCCAGGAGAATAGCCCCACAGCTCTGGAGCAGCTGCGCAGGTACTTACAGGAAGTAGGGCAGGAAGCTGGGGTAGTACGGTGGTGGGGGAGGCGGCGGGGGCGGCGGGGGGAGTGGCTGTTGCAGGCGGTATCTCTGGGTGCTCAGTCTCCGAGGCATCACGTGGGAATATGGCTGCAAGACAGGGGCCAGGGGCAGGTCAGCCACGGGCCTGTCTCCCCGGTCACCCTCAAGCCGGAGCAGGGGCAGCACTCACCACACCGAAGGACAGCTCCTGGTGCAGGGTGTCGTGGGGCAGGTAGTGCATGGGCACGGACAGGGGAGGGCCGGGGGCCGAGGTGGAGTAGGTGAAGCTCCCCAGGGGGTGCTGATCCCCCCGGAGATCCACGTCATTGTCGAGGCGCTGCAGGGGCTGGGAGAAGTGGGGGGGAGGGGCGTTGGCAGTCAGTGACGAGGGGCGTCCCCTGGCCCCCTCCCTGCCCACCATCCCCTGTAGCATCGGACCTGTCGCCGGGACTCACCATGCGTGGGTGCTGTGTCTGCAGGGACACAAACTGCCCAAGAGGCGCCATGTGAGCGGGCTGGGGGTGTGGGGCCGGCGGCGGGGGGTGCAGGATGTAGTGGTCACTGGAGATGAGGTGCGGGTAGGCCTGGTAGGGCACCGGGAGCTGCTGCATGGTGCACGCCTGGATCAGCTGCTGAGAAAGGGGGCAGAGGCTGGAGAACGTTCTTCTGGGCTCTGGGTTGGGTCTTAGGTTTGTGGGATCAGGGCCAGGGCCAGGGCCCATTCCACCCGGGGAGAAGTCCTCTGGACCATCTAGCCCTGGCCTAGTCCTCCCAGGCAGGACATCTTGCTCTGAAGGCCCACAGTGACGACTCCAAACCATACAGCAGGCCCTGGGATACAGGGCCATCCCTGAGTTCTGCAACGCCTCTCCACTGGACATGAATACACGAACGCTTTTCTGGACAAGGCTGTGGCCTGGAGCTGAGAGAACTCTGAGAGCCTGGGTGAGGGCCGTTAAGTGCAGCTCAGTTCTGCTACGGGTCCAAGCCCGAGGCCTTGGGCTAGAGGTGGGCCAGGAGGCCTGGGCGGGTGCTCACTCACCGGGGGCGGGAGGCAGCAGAGCGGGTAGTGCTGCCCGCTGAACATCACGGAGCATGCTGGGAGCTGCTGAGCGCTGCAGCCAGGGATGTGCTGGCCTGTAGGCAAGGGGAAGCCTTGGGTGGTCACCGTGGTGACTGTGTAGGACAGAGGGACAGGTCCCTGGTGCACCTGTAGGAGAGAGACCCAGAACTGTGGGGAGGCCACTCGGCTGCCCCTGAGGTGAGAAAGTCCCGCTGGGCCAGTTGTCTTCCCTTCTCTAGCTGGGGCCTACCCACTGTAGACCTGGCTGCTACCTCCTGCCCCAAGCCCCAGAGAGTCCTCTGGGGACCCAGGAGGGGCTCTCTAGCTCTGTCACTCATCCACTGTGTGGCCCCAGGGAAGGTCCTTCCCTTCTCTGGGCTTCAATGTACCAACCTGTACACCAAGGCTAAAGATGCCTCCCCAAACAGAGCAATGAGTTCAGCAAGGTGAAGTCAGGGTATTGCTCCTCTGTCCTTGGACCGACTTGCCAGAGGCCAGGGTGGCAAGGCGGAATGCGAGGGTGGGGGGTTCTGCCTACCTGCTCGTGGAGATCAACCATGAACGGGCTCTGCTGGGAGGCTGGGTGCAGCATTCGGGGGCTCCCGCCGGCAGGAGCCGAGGCTCGGCGCTCCTCTACGGGGAGGTGTGCTGGTCGGGGCGGCAGCTGCTGGGAGGGGAAGCGCTCATCCTGGGCAGGCGGGCTGGCCAGGGGGCCCTCGCGGCTGGGGCTGCACCACAGAGAGGAGGCCCCAGTAGCACTGACGAGGGCCGCTCATTCACAGAGCACGGAAGAAGCCAAAGGTCCACTACCCACTGGGGAAGGAAGACAGCTCAGGGCCCTGGGCCCACCGCCCCCGGCCCCTGTGCCCAGCCCAGGCTGACAGCCCCCACGCCAGTGGCTCCAGGATCCATAGGACTGGGAGGTTCCCTCCTACCTTCCCCAGAACTGGCCCGGGCTGCTGCTGGGTCCTGCAGGGAATCGCCGTTGACCCCCCGGGGCAGAGGGTGCCCACCTAGTCACTGCCAGAGCCCATGGTTGCATCAGGGGTGGCAGAGGGCTGGAGGGGCTGGGCCAGGGCACACGACCCTAGGAGGCAAACCAACAAAGGGACTAAGGCACAGAGAAGTCCAGTCCCTTGCTCCACGAGGGGTCAGGGAGGGAGCATCAAACCTCCGCACCCTGGTTCCAGAAGCCCACTCATGCCCGTGCGCCACGCCCCTGTGCTCCCCTGAAGGCGCTGCACTCTGGCATTGGGGTTCAGGGTGGACAGATCAGAGAGGCTTGGCCTGCAGGAAGTCCAGAGGGCTGGCTCACATGCTTCCAGGCCAGATGGCTCTGGTGTAAGGCTCGCTCCAGGGGGGTCTTCAGGGAACCCTATCGTGGTGCAAGGGTCTACAAATATGACCTACAGGTAGTGGGGTTTCTGAGGGGATTCCAGCTTCCTCCCTTCTATCTGCTTGGCTCAAGAAGGACTGCATTCCTTCCACTACTTATATATGAGAGATTCTGACTTGGTTCCTGCCCTTGGGGGTTCTCAGTCCAAGACAAGTCAGGAGTCATCCCTCAGTATCCATAGGGTACATGTTCTAGGACTCCCATGATACCGAAATCTGAGAATGCTTAAATCCCTTATGTGAAATGGTGTAATATTTGCATATAACCTATACACATCCTCCCCTGGACTTTCTATCATTTCTAGATTACTTATGACACCTAATACAATATAAATGCTAAGTAAATATGATATAAATGCTACCTAAAGGGCAAATTCAACTTTTGCTTTTTGCAACTTGATGGATTTTTTCCCCAATATTTTCAATCTACAGTTGGTTACACCTATGGATGTGAACCTATGGATAGAGAGGATCGACAGTATACTTCCTTTCCATAATCTGTTACCACAGTGCACACCCAAGTGAGACTTCACCTACTCTTAAAAGAACGAACTGTTAGCTCCATGTTGCAGAAGGGAAAACTGAGGCTCAGAGAAAAGAAAGGACTTGCTCAAGGAGCCACAGGAAGTGTCAAAGCAGGGAGGTGGGCTGACTACAAGCTTCTTGCTGTACCCTGCTGCCAACGGGAAAGGGTCCAGGCCAAGAATTTTGGCATGACGCAATGAAGCGATAAACGCAGTCAACCTCTGATGGACTGATGGGTCTGGCAAGCAGCCAGGCCCTCTGGGGCAGGAGGAGGGGGTTGGAGGGAGTTGGAGGGGGTGGTACAAACCTGACCCAACACAGCCCGCAAGTCGGAGGTAGGGTTTGCTGAGAAAAAAAAAGAGGAAGCAAGAACCTAAACCTAAGGGAGGAAGCTGAGTGTGAAGGAGGTGGGGCAGGAGCTGGGGTCCAGGAGGGGCAAGTTTCGGGGAGGCGGGGGTATTAACTCCAGAGGTTGGAATGAGGCCCTGGCAGGGAAAGCGCTGGAATCTGTCAGGCCCTGCAAAGCAAAAGGGCCTAGCAAGACCATCCCTTGGCTGTTCCTACCACTGGGACCCTGCCTCCATAGAACGAGACTCCTATGCTTCCTCCACACACAGCCTCAAGTGCTGCCTCTCTGTTCACACAGTTAGGAATGTGTGCACTGTCCCTGCAACTCCTTGTTTCTCTCCTCTGAGCTGGGCTTTATGTGTATGGGCCCTAACTTTCACAATGAGCCTGAAAGGGAGAACTTTTCTCTACCTGCTAAGACAGCACAGGGCCCAAGGCCACGGAAGAGCTGGAATTCACACTCCTCCCAGCCAGCAATTGGCAGAAGGGTGGACAAGGCCCAGTGGATTGTATCCAGCACAGGGCAGGCCTGATGTGGTAAATGCACCCAGGAGAGCTGATAACCTAGGCCTAAGGTCTATGTAATCAGTCTGGCAGCAGTGAAGTTAGTGCCAATGATTAAAAATTGGGAGATTACATAAAAATCTGGCCTTTCAGAGTGAGTGAGTGAGTGAGTGAGTGAGTGAGTGAGTGAGTGTGTGGTGTGTGTGTGTGTGTGTGTGTGTGGTGTGTGTGTGTGTGTGTGAGTGAGTGTGTGTGAGTGTGTGGTGTGTGTGTGAGTGTGTGTGTGGTGTGTGGGTGTGTGAGTGAGTGAGTGTGTGTGTGGTGTGTGAGTGTGTGTGTGGTGTGTGTGAGTGTGTGTGTGTGGTGTGTGTGTGTGTGAGTGTGTGTGTGGTGTGTGTGTGGTGTGTGTGTGTGTGTGTCAGTGTGTGTGGTGTGTGTGTGTGTGAGTGTGTGTGTGGTGTGTGTGTGAGTGTGTGTGGTGTGTGTGTGTGGTGTGTGAGTGTGTGTGTGTGGTGTGTGTGTGTGGTGTGTGTGTGTGTGAGTGAGTGTGGTGTGTGTGTGGTGTGTGTGTGAGTGTGTGTGTGTGGTGTGTGTGAGTGTGTGTGTGTGTGTGGTGTGTGTGTGTGGTGTGTGTGAGTGTGTGTGTGAGTGTGTGTGTGTGGTGTGTGTGTGTGTGAGTGTGTGTGTGGTGTGTGTCAGTGTGTGTGGTGTGTGTGTGTGTGGTGTGTGTGGTGTGTGTGTGTGTGTCAGTGTGTGTGGTGTGTGTGTGTGTGTGAGTGTGTGTGTGAGTGAGTGTGTGTGTGGTGTGTGTGAGTGAGTGTGTGTGGTGTGTGTGTGTGGTGTGTGAGTGTGTGTGTGTGGTGTGTGTGTGTGGTGTGTGTGTGTGTGAGTGAGTGTGGTGTGTGTGTGTGGTGTGTGTGTGGTGTGTGTGTGAGTGTGTGTGTGTGGTGTGTGTGAGTGTGTGTGGTGTGTGTGAGTGTGTGTGTGTGTGTTTGTGTGTGTGGTGTGTGTGGTGAAGCAGAAAATCTGGTCCCTCATTTCTGCTTGACTCCCTCACTCTGAGCATGAGCTTTCTCTCCAGGCCACCCCAGACCCATTCCCCGCCTGTCCACCACAGGTGACTGGGGCTGTAGCCCCCGGTGTGGGCCAAGTGCACATCCTAACACACATGTGTACACACACACGCACACAGCCTCGATTCCTGCTGATGATCCAGCTGAGCAAACATAGGCCAAAAAAGACTCAGAGGAAACCCCCAAATAACTGAAACAACAAACTCCTGATCCACCCTACACTTTTTGGATCAGAATCTTAGGAAGGTTGGGGAACAAAAGTGCCTGGAATTCCACCAAATTCCCCAGCAGTTTCTATAGCACAGGCAGTGCCTAAGAACCTCTGTTCTAACTGACCTCGGAGATTCTGAGAGACCTCAGTCCTGCTGATGGGGAGTTATTAACAAGAACTACAATACTTTCCATGTGCCATCCCAGTTAAGTCCTCATAGCAACCCTCAGAAGTAGGAACACTGAGGATGAGATCTCACTGAGAGAAGTGAGACCCAAGGCCAGTCAGCTACAGTTGAGGGCCCAGGGACACAGCAGTGGCCTCAACTGCTAGGCTATCTTGTTGAAGGCTGGGCAATGTCAAGGCTCGGGGTGAAGAACCACAGAGGCCCAGGCCCATGGGATTCTGCTCTGGCCAGCCTCTTCAAAAACGCCCACAGTGCAGGAAAGGGAAGTGGCGAGGAGCTGGGAAATCCAGCCACCAGACAGAAGCCCTCGAGCTGTGGCCAATGGTGCCAAAAGTGGCAGTGTCAACCCTTGCATTTTATTAACACATGATGCCCTGACCTGGTAGTCTTGGTTGAGGATTGGGCATTTTGCTTCCTCTCTCTGAGCCACAGCTTATTTATCTGTAAAATGGGAACAGGCCAATAATCACCTCCCAGGGGACTGGTAAGGACTCCCCAAAGTCCACTGCAGTGATCTGTAAAGCTCAGGTATCAGCTGAGCTTTACACTATCAAAAAGTCAGATAGGATCCCTCTGGGAATAGCCCAGCTGGTTCCTGACTGGGAACAGAGATGGCCCAGGGGGAACTCACCCACTTTACAGTTGAGGAAACTGGGATCCAAAGAAAGGAAGTAACTTACTCCAGACTATAAAGCCAAAGCGGGTCAGAATTAGTCCTGGCTGGTCACCTAGGCCCAGGCTTCTTTAACCCTGACTTGCATTATCAGTACCCTCAAGAATTACCTAATGCTAAATCTCTACTGCGGGCCCTAAAGGAGATCAGGAGAGCTTTCTCTTTCAGGCATCCTGATGAGTCCTATCGTGGAGAGAAGTAAGTGAGGCCCAAAGTTGGAGCCAGCAACTTGCTCAAGGTCAAACAGCAAAGCCACCACCTAACTGCTCTGTCTTTTACCACTCGTCCTTTGGGCTGGGCTCTTAATGAGGTCTCTGAAAAAGAGTCCTGAAGGTCCCATCCCTAAATCCAATCCTCCCCAGAAGCAGGGACTGCATCTTGCATCCTGTTCCTCCCCCAGGCACTTTCAGTGCCCCAAGCAGCTATCCTCATCCTGGTCGAGGGAGACCCTAACATATAATTTGGGCCTGGCGGCTGTTTGCAGGAACAGGGGCTGTTCTACAGATAAGCCAAGTGAGGCCCTGAGGAGAGGAGCAGACTGAGGCAGGCTGAGAAGCATCCCTCCCTACTCCCTCCCACCAGCCCCCCAAAAGAGGCAGGCTGGGCCCAGCACTGCCTGGAGGACAAGCAGAGCTACCCAACTGTGGTGTCTCGTGGCAGCTGAGGGCAGGACCACCAGGCTCCGAGTTAAGTAAGAGTCGTGCGCCAGCCCAGACTCCCTGGGTGACCTTGGTCAAGGAAATCTTCCCTTCTGAGACTCAGTTGGCACAACTGTAAAATGGGGGTGGAAATCTCTCCTTCCCAGAGCTCCCAAATAAAGCCTCAATAAGCAAGACGCAAGAAACCAGGTGGTCACATTATAGGGGGAGGTAACCAGTGTCCCTAAAGGCAAGCCCCTTCTCAATGTGGGCCAGACGCAGGTAGCGGGGTTCGGGGAGCTTCCTCAACCAACCCTCCCTGGGAAAGGGGACAGGCGTGGGGGAGGGGGCCGTGGTACGGATACTCGCCCAGAGCGGGGCCTCCCTCACCCCCTTCTCACTCCTTTGTGCTGTGCTCAGAGGAACATCGGGGACGAGAGGCCAGACTGCGGCGTCGGGGCCAGAGCGCTGTGACTTTAAGAACCGAG